TAACTTGGGAAATAACGGACACCCTAATGTGTATCTAAGCTATTAATGTTTTTTCCCAGATTATTTTACTTAATTTTTCACAGTTCTCAATGTAAAACGCTATTTTTATTAGGTATAACATCTACAGAAATAAAATACAATGGGAAAAAATAGAAATAACACGTCAGTGTTTGAATGTCATTCCTTTAAAGTTAATTTTCAATCGGCATTGTTACAAAGATTTACTCATATGAGCGTTTTTAACTAATATTGACAGTTAGTATATATCTTTTTTCTTCACTCTTAGAAACACCGTATGATCGAAAAAAAACGTTGTTAGTTGGCGATTGAAATGAAAATTAATAACAGCAAACTTCATTTCCAAGCTAGCTCTGATGCTGTTTTTTTTTCGATCGTATGACATTTCATTCTTGAAAATGTGTTATACTAATACAAAATAAAATATAAGCCGCTGAAGATCAACCTTAAGAAACTTTTGGCAATTTATTAACAAAAAAATATACCTATATTTAATGTTATCTATTTAAATACTGAGGTGTACAAAATTCCTATCTAAAATCTTTTTTTGCCATAATTCGCTACACTTTAGGCAGAATTATTTCTTATAAGGGGTGGGGGCACACAGTAGATAATACATTTAGAATAATTTCTATTTTAAAGATGCATTAAACGTTAAAATATTTTTTGTTAAAGAAACTTTTAAAATCTCTCTGTCAAGTCTTACTAATTTCTTTACAACTTTCTTAGGTACTTATACCTGGTCATTTTTCTTGTTAAAGAACCTAAAATAATATAACATTCTGAACAAAAGAGCGATATTATAACCAACTTCTTTTTATTTTTGCTACCTGTACAAATTTATTAGCAACCTGCTGAATATACTTTTCTCTCTCTCTCTAGCTGCTTTGTTTTCTAAATCACAGAATTTTTTAGTCTCTCACGCCAAAAATAAAATTACAAATTAGAAAATCATATTGTTTGTAAGTTTTGAAAAGGTTATCTTAGTAAGTTATGGGAGACCCTGTATAACTCCATTAATTTTTGTTTTAATTAATCAATTCATCTTTGTCAATCTCTTTAAAATTTCTCGTTACATAATTTATTTTATACCTCTATTTTTTTCAAAGTTTATAATAATTTTTACGGACTTATGTCAAAGTTTATACTAAGTGCTGGCAAAGGTTAGTCTTGGGTCGTGATTTCCGCATGTAAGAAGAGTACAATGCGTTTATAATGTACTGAATAAGGAGAGAACAGTAAATACGTTGCCAAACGTGTGAAATAAACCGAGAAACTGTCCGCATTGCTAGGAGACGTGGAAGGGGATATAGCAGATTTGTCACAGTCGACCGGTTGACCCAATCAGTACCTCTGTCAGTACTTAAAGTTCTAGGGAAAGGTGTACATCATGCGTTCTTCATGATTAATTACGTCTCGTGGTACTTTATTTGTTTATTTATTCACGAGTCGTTGTAATTTTCCATATAGCTTGAAAAATATTAAGTGCAAGTTAGAAACACTTGCATTTTTGGTAAAAATACGTGGAATTGAGTTGGTGTTCGACAGTGGTAGCGCTATTAGAACTTTGAATTCAAAAATCGATATCTCGAAATCTATCTATCTTCTCTTCTTAATATTTCGAAATCTATCTTTTCGAAAATTTTTTTTTTTTAAAATAAGCGGTTTGCGATCGTGATTTCACTTTACTTGATAGGTAAATGCGTACCGGCAACGCCGCAACAGCACACCGTCGCATTTCTCTCACTCTGACTTAATAAGATCGCTATGCGATTTACTTCCACACATGTAAATACCGACCCAAAAGTAACAGTAGCCAGCACGGTACTTTTTCTCCGTAAAAGAGATATAAATGACTTAAAACAATTATCATAATATGTATCATTGTGCAATAAGTAAGATTTACTCAAAACCTTCTCAAAACTTGAACAGACCAAAATCTTATTTTTATAAATGCTATCTAACTAGAGTCCTTTAAATACATTTCCCGATGAGCAATAGGTATATAAGGTGCCATCACAATTTTCATTAAAATAATGCTTTGCTTTATATATCATATTATCACCCTGTATAATATAAATTTAAATATATCTTTTTTAAATCTTATTTCTATATATGTATATTATAAATAATTAGCAAGTAATATATAATAAATACCGACAATAATAACAGGTATTCTTCTGTAGTGGTCATGTCAAATTCGTTGTATCATGTTACTGTGTTGTAATACAGGATCGCTAAAAAGTAATCTCGTTCGTGTATTTTAGAAAACCCTGTATTTGTTGTACCATACGATGAAAAAGAAAATTATCTTCAAAAGGTGTGTTTTTGTCTAAAATTATGATGTGTATAAGTTTTAAGTTAAGTGAATATTACATATAAAAAAGGTTATTGCTGAAAACAAAGAGGTATTTATTATATAAAATTTTCCGATTTGGCTTATCTCTATATAATCCCTGTATAATATCTATGTTGCCATTTTATCAAGAAATTACGTTTTTTAACTAAAAAAAAATCCAAAAAATTTCGAATTTTCAAATTTTTTTCACGAAAAAACCTCATAGGCGTGTTTCTGGGGTTGAACTATTCTACCAGTTAAAATACTTATATATGGGACACCCTGTATATTGTCGTATCTTACGTGATATCGGAAAGAAATAGAGTATGGACTGCATATTGTTTCTAGTAACTGGCATTTCAAACAAAATTCTAAAAAAGATTCTAATTTTGTTATTACTGGTATGTATTTATGTATTCCTATAATAATTATAAATCCAAAAACAAACAAAATGAATGACGGCCATACTTAAAATGGATAAATGCGGAACGCACTCATTTGTACGTACTTTAACTTATCAAGGGTGCATTCCGTTGCTTTTCTTGGTTATGGATTTATGTTCCGTTTCTATCGGTTTCTTGCAAGTTTTCTTATTACGGAACATGGTTCCTGAAAAATTCGGTTATAACTGTCACCAAACTAACCAGCGCGAGAAGGCTGGTTTTTCTGGTTTTGTTTGTCAATCAATGTCATTTATGTCACAGAAATCAAGCAAATATTGAAAGTTCGAGTGAAATTCTCATTTAATTTCTAAAATTTGTAATATTTTGTATTTACATCCAAAAGCAATGGAGGTAGGCAGTAAAGGTTAATAAATAATTTCATTAACTGAATAAAATGACTTTTTAGGACCATTTAAACTTATCATGCAGCCATTGTTTCTTATAGTCAGGAACATTTAAAGAAAACATGAAAGACAAGACAACAAGTAATCGTGAATGTTTTGTAAGCTATAAAAATATAAATATTGATTAGATTTGTTTATTTATTATTGATCTGTTTTAATATTGGACCTGCAAATCTCCACTTGAGCTGTCTAACGAGTTTAACAATTTATTAATACAGTACTTTTCAATATTAAATTCCATTGAAAAGAAGAAGCAAACGTAAAAGCAGGGAATAGGTACATTAAAAATGCATAAAAGATAAATTTTATAATAGAGGTATCGAAATTTAGAAAACGTCAACATTTGACGTTTCCAGTATTTTACCAAACCGTTCCGTACCAAACCGATATTTTTCAGGAACCGCTCTTTACCGTAGTTTACCGGTCTGGTTCGCCTGGTTTTGCAACGGAATACAGCCTAAATAAACTAATATTAGATAAATAATGATGACGTATCGTTGACCGATTGTTATACTGCCTGTACCTGTTAAAACCCAATGCATGCATATCCATGTAATCATACTATCATAAAACGTGATTAGATTAATGAAGTCGACTGACAAAAATACTAAACTTTAATGAATTCTTTTTGAAAAAGTCCACAATATTGTAGTTTTTGGTTTACCTTATATAACTAATTAACTTTATAGGGAAACGCCAAATCGAAAAGTTTTATAGGAGAAACTAATTTTTTAAACATTTTTTTTCATACTTTCATTTACGTCTTGTATAGTTATAGGAAGTACCCGATGTAATAGTTTTTATTTAATTACTTTTTCGAGTCCTAATTATCATTAAAGATGCCAGATTGATAAATTCAGGACATGTTGAATCAACTATACACATGCATAATACCAATATAATTTGGAACATAAAGGTGCGACTTCATAGCGATGGCTGGTCATGATCGTTGAATTTTTCCTATATTCCATAGTACAGCATCAACTGTAGTGTTAAAAGCCAGACAGAACTTATATTACTTGAAGAAGAAAATTATGATGATGTTCATATTTTATAATCGATAATCTGATGACACTAGCAAATTGTATAAATCTCAAAAGAAAGAATGATATATCAAAAATATAATACAAAATCATCTAAATTTTGATGAAAATGAAAATTGTAAGTTTCTTTCGACTTAATAAGAATCAATTCAATTTTGTACTTACTTAAAAAATTACTCTACCAAACAGAATAAAAAATATTCAATTTCTCTAGGAGAAAAATTAGCACTAACAATAAGATAAAGTAAATTTTAAATTATTAGTTTTAAACAAAGAATAAAAAAAATATTTTTTTTCCATAGGAACTGTTAAAATTTTCTTATATCTATCAAAAATAGTACTTTAACCGCAAGGGTAGATTAAATGATACTTTAACAGCGAGGATAGGTTAAAAACTTTATTTCTTCTCGCACGTTTTTTAATTGCTTCCAATTTTGAAAATGTTTGTATTCCTTTTCATAAGTTATTTGGGATATAAATGAAAGTAGTTTGGATATGGCGTTTGTCGCCTCAGCCTGAATATCTTTTGGTAATTTACTTATTTCGTTTTGAGCCATTTCTGGCTCCAAGTCAATCAGCAATCGACACGAAAGACAATTAAAAAATATTGACTCAAAACTGACAACAAAAGAGACAGCTTTATTTATTTGTCAAATTACATAGAAACCAACGCCAACCCAGCATAATATTTTTTCTACTCGTAATAAATTCCTTGAAATAATAATTTATGAATATTTTTTAAACGTAACTCGCTATGGAAAAAAAACGGCTATAAAATTGCATTATCGTCTCCCGAAATTAATTCACTCGCGATTTCATCGCTCGTCTCAAGTGCTGTACGGTGCAGCCTCCACTCACTACTCGCTAGGAAATCACACCTTAACTAAGAGAAAAGTTATTTAAAATTCTTCTAGTTTAATTTTTTTATATATTATATGATACCGTTTTTTTGGAAATGTATTTAAGATAGACCACATAACTTATGATTCGTGTTTGAACCTAAGTATTTATACAAAGCTAAACTTTTGGTACATTGCTATAGGGTGTATCAAAAAATGCACATAACAATAATTGTCACATGCAAATATATTACCTTTAATACGCCCTAATGAAAACTTAAATTACCAGTGTTTAATTTCTTATTTTACCTTCTTTTTTTTATAATACACCTAAACCTAACATACATAATATACTTAAAAATAAATAATTATATTATCCGTAAAGCCCAACAACTTGAATCACAATTATTCTTGTAGTTCAAAATTTCATTCCCGTATTTTTAATGATAAAAATGCTTTTTAACCACGTTAAAAAATTGACTAATATATGTCTAAAATAAACATAGGAATATTGCCAAACAGTGTTCCTTTTTTATATTTTTTTTCCTTGTTGCCTTATAGTTGGATATATGTAATTAAGTATTAAAAAGATTACGGTGTAGTGTTCAGGAATATTCCTATTATAAAGATATCGATAATAAATAAAGAAAACAATAGTCCTTAACTCTTGGGCGTTTAGTAGTTGCTCAGGGTGTGCAGTGTCGACGTCTTTCATCATCTTAGACATAACAAGAGAGCAATCGACATGATTACCAAAGAAACAGCTGGGATCAGGATCATGTTGGCAGTGCTTGAACTGGATTGATCGCATGTGCCTGAAATATGCGAGAATCAACATCAGTTTTATCTAAAAATACAGTATAAAACCAAAAGGAAAATTTAAGCTACTAAATTTTCCTGGGGTTTTATTTTTACTCTGTCATATTTGCAAAAAACACTTCATTGCTATAGTCTGTCCAGTGAAAGGATATATGACAATTACGACAGCCGTTTCGCCTGTCATTTTAATATTTTTTCTATTATTTTTTGGATACCAGTCTGTCAAAATCTCGGTCAAAATTATTCCCCCGTTAAACGTACTATATTTTTTTTAAAATATAGGTATGTACCTATTAATAATTATGAGGTAATAGTAACATCTAATTTTGATCATAACATATAAGCTGTAATATTAGAAGTAAGTATAGATCAGTAATATTAGTTGCGATAGAATACTTAAGTGTTAAGACTTTTTAAAACTAACTTGTTGCAGCTCTGATATCACTTACCATTGATAGTAAAGTTGAAAGCCCATCCTCCATCTATACCAGGTTTGATCATCCTGTCGCAACTTTCAGTGACCTTGGACATTCTTAACACTGGCGGTCCGGCGGCTTTGCCTTAAAATAATTGAAATCATTTCATAAAAAAGGTTATTTTGGATATATAGGATGTTCCGATATTTCTAGAACATAGAACACCAACGTACTGGGTGATAACAAATAATTTTCGACAATATAATCTTCTGCCCTCTAACGGACAAACCAAGTAGTTTTGAATCAAAAGTAAATTATGTCCAATTGACTTAGTCTGATTCTAAAAATACGTAGCACTTCTACAGGGTGTCCCAGGCTGAGCGTGCATTACAGGTTTCTAGAAAACCACAATATCTAGATCGGAGATTTTTTGCACATCCTTGTTTTGCAACGAGATCTATCGATTAAAAATATTTTCAACGTGGCGGCACTTCCGGAAATACCGGAAGTTGACAGCAACTTTCATATTTTAAATGAGTGCCCCCATTTTTTATTACATACTTAAATTCTCTGTAAAATTTGATGAATTTTGATTTTAAACACTCTATACCCAACTTTAATCGTTTTTAAGAAAAAAAAAAATATTTAAAATTTTTGGACGAATAAACTACCTGTCAAAAAAAATTGTATAGCCGAAAATAAATTTAGTGATTACCACAGCCACTGTGCCATAAAGAGAAAACGTGGCTACCTATTTTAAAAATTAAATTGTTCTAAGGTCATATAATAATGGCCGCAGCTGTCATAGAATTGGGCGATTAAAAAATTATTATAAATCATTTTTTTTTCAAATGGAAACCCACTTTTTTTATGCGAAAAGTAGTGAAAAATAGTGAAAAGGCTTTCCAATTCGTTACTTTTTGAGTATACATGTTCCTATACCTAAAATAAACCGTTTTTAAGTTATTTAAGATTTTGTTTGAAAATGTATATTTTTCTTGATTTTATCTAGCTTCCTTTGACATTAAGTGTCAAACAGTCAGACAATTTATTTCAATCTGTCAGAAAACGAATTATTTCAATTTCCTATATTATAAATACTGCCTGCTTAAGAGTTTAAAAAGTGTATTTATAAAAATATATCTCGTATTTTCGCTCTTTAGTGGTATCTAATAATTGATATTATTAATAATATTCCGTATGATCGAAAAAAAAACAGCGTAAAGTAGGCTCGGAAATGATGCTGCTTTTTGAACAAAGCGTCACAATATGACATGGCCAGATCTAGTGTTTTACATCACATGACGTTTAAAGTCATAGGCTCCTGGTTAAAATCAAGAAAAATATACGCTTTAAAACTAAATCTTAAATAACTTAGAAACGATTTATTTTAGGTATAGGAATATGTATAGTCAAAAAGTACCGAATTGAAAAGCCTTTTCACTAGTGAAATAAAAAAAGTGGGTTTCCATTTGAAAAAAATGATTTATAATAATTTTTTAATCGCTCAATTCTATGACAGCTGCGGCCATTATTATATGACATTAGAACAATTTAATTTTTGAAATAGGTAGCCACGTTTTCTCTTTATGGCACAGTGGCTGTGGTAATCACTAAATTTGACATTTAAGCTATACACATATTTTTGACAGGCAGTTTTTTTTGTTCAAAAAATTTAAATATTTTTTTCCCCAAAAACGGCCAATGTTAGATATAGAGTGTTTAATATCAAAATTCATTATTCAATTACAAGTATGTAATAAAAAATGGGGACACCTATTTAAAATAAGAAAATTGTTGTCAACTTCCGGTATTTCCGGAAGTGCCGCCATATTGAAAATATTTTTAATCTATAGATCTCGTTGTGAAACTATGATATGAAACAAAAAATCTCTACAACCGCTAGATGTTGTAGTTCTCTAGAAACTAATGCACGCTCAGCCTGGGACACCCTGTATATCCACGGAATATTGGTACACCCTGTATTTTTTTTATTAATACGGTGATTTTTACCTAGACCACCTTCTATGACAGCAGATTGTAGTTGATTTGACAACTGGAATATGAAGCAATATTTGGATGTTTCCGGTTGTTTTCTGGATGGATTGTTTCCTGGTGATGTAATTAGGTAAGATATGCCATCTTCTTCCCAGCTGCCATAGCATGCGTAAGCTGAAAATTATTTAAAAATATTAATCTTTATGTTTTATTTCTATTACATTAGTAGATTATGAGTAATCGCAAAACAATTTCCGATGCACGTGATCAATTTTGAGCGTCAAGCGATGGCGACAGCGCTGCCAGATTGTGATGGATTTATGAGATGAATCTTAATTTAAAAGTAAAGGTGGGTTCATACAGCCAAATAAAATAAAATAAGAATAAAATAAAATAAGAAATAAGGAATTCTTATTTGTGTGCGTTCATACAGGCAAATAAAATAAAATAAGAAATATATATTTGCTCATGCGCAGTACGATGAGGCTGGATAAAAGTTAACTTTTACGATTGTTTATAGTAATTTTACTATTTATAGTATATTTATTTATTCGTTGCCTACTATATTATACATTTTACTTAAAAAATAAATTAAATCCAAACTGAAAATATTTGTAGGTTAGAATTAAGCGTGCGCAAAGCCGTTTTCACATAAAATAAAACAAGAAGTTAAAAGATAAAGACTTTTTATTTTATTTGTTATTTTATTTGGCTGTATGAACGCATGTACGGTATCCCATATAACCAACTTTCTTATTTTATTTTATTTTATTCTTAATTTATTTTATTTGGCTGTATGAACCCACCATAACTTGTGGAAGTAAATCGCATAGGGATCTTATTAAGTCGGGGTGAGAGAAATGCGACAGCGTGCTGATGCGGCGTTGTCGATACGTCTTTCCCTATCAAGTAAAGTAAAATCACGATCGCAAACCGCTTATTTTTAAACGACTTTATTTTCGAAAAGATAACTAGATAAAATCATTAGATATATTTCTGAGCATCTGAAATAGAATTATAAGGATATTGTTAGGGTGTCCATTTTTTTTATAACAATAAAACGTCAGGAATCGCGATAATTTAGAAACTCAACTTTTTAACACATAACACGCTATAACTTAAGAACTACTTTAGACATTGAAACTTTTTTTTTTATTTTTAAACAATTTCCGATGCACGTGATCAATTTTGAGTGATAAGCGATAGCGACAGCGCTGCCAGATTTATGAGATGAATCTTAATTTAAAAGTAACTTTGTTTTATAACTTATTTTACTTATTACAAATTGGCAAAAACTAGTCCATTATGAACATTATCCTAAGCGTTATTATGGGTTATTTGCTTCTCTGACTGCAGTTAAGGGTAATAAAGGACCTTTATTGTCACGTTCTCGTTCAAAATAGTTTATCAGGGAAGCAAAAGCTCTTTGCTTCGACTGTTTCAATGCTTTGGCATATTTTCAACACACAATTTCAAAAAATGCAATACAAAAACTCGAAAATTTAGTTCTGAAAAGAACTGTTTGTCCTTAAAAGATGAATGCCTATATGAAGATAGGCAAAAAAACGAGAATTACTCACAAAGATTCAACAACAACACGATATTGTACAAAATAATGACTGACATTAGGATAATTGTCAAATAATAAACGACACCCTTGCTGAACACGGCGCAATATGACCAACATAGCGATAATAAAATTCGGTTTAAACTAATTTTTGCAGCTTTAATCTAAATAAAGTATCTGTTACAACCATTTGCTCTATAAAGTAAAATGAAGAGCTGCTTGGTATCTTAAATTATACAACACATTTAAACATTTTTGCCAAAATTTCATTTAGTCAGGTTTATAGACTTTAGTGTCAATGTCGATATGATTGATGACGTGCATCGGAAAATGTTTTGAGATTGCAATAAACTTACAGTGTAGAGGTTGCCCCGGACAGGTTGATTTAAATTCCATTTGGTAATATTCGTTACATCCTACTAATAAAGACTCGTATTCGTTTGATATGCATTCTGGTTCAGGGTTGTTTAGTTTTATATCCACTGTAAAATAAAAATACGTAAAATTATTACGACTATTGTACTTATTTTGTTTTACAACAATAAACTACCCAAATTTTTCAGAATATTTTATTTTAAATTGAAACCATACCTAGTAAAATTTCAGATGTTTTCAAAAAATGAACTAACAACTAGTATTATAGACCTGCATAAAAGATAGTCTAACCATATACAGGGTGAGTTTTCTACGATGTTCTCTATGGGTATCTCGGAAACTACTGGAGATAGAGAGTCGGTGAAATGGGGAAAGAATTGCAGTTTTGTAGGGTCATAAATATGCGCCTTTCAGATTTTTGAAAAAGTTCATGGCTTACTAGATGTTTCGAAAAAAAAACAAATGTCGGATATTTTAAAAATTTTCCCTAATTCCATTATAATCTATTTTAGACAAAAAGTTTTCAGATAAAAATTGTAGATAATCACATCCTTAATGAGACTGTTCTCCGTTTTTTTTTCTAAAGCATGGCATTTTTGACATATGGCACAAACATATGTTTTTTTTAAATGGAAACCATAGTTGACCATGACTTCATAAAAAGCACCATTTTTTAAGATTTTCATTGATATAAGTTATAAAAATCTGTTTTTTTTTCGAGTAATAGCCAATTCTTATCTTTCTTGACTAATTTCACTTAGTTAGCATGTTATTCTCATTTAATTATGATTTATAACTTATAAAAAGACAGAATATTTCATTAAACGGTTCTTTACAATTTACATTACACAAACTAGAACTCAAAAAAAATAATATCACTACATACATATGCATTTTTTGGGCATTTTTTAACCGGCCAGGACCAGACACAAAAAACATTAGATGATTAAATCTATTTTGCAAGGCTCCTTGATTAAAAATTAGTGTTTTTAACACAGCCATGGCACTCTAGATTGAAATTTGAGATACGACTTTTTTAGGCGAAAATATCAAAAGTTGACATGTGAATAGTCATTCAATTCAGAGTGTCATTTTCTATCAAATAAAGTAAGAAAATTCCAATGGTGCCATTTAAAAATCGTAAGTTGTAGTTATTTCCGGTGAAACAGGAAGTGACCGAAAACAATTGAATACGTCAATCAACCCTAATTCACGGGTCATGAGCCGCAACTGGTTTATATTGGGTTGGTTTTTATTTTACTGTGACTTACTTGGTTGTTCTCTTCGTTTCCGTTTTTCTTGGTACGTATTTGCTTGTGAAATAGAGTACCGACCTAAATGCGGACATTTCTTAGATGGAAAAGTTGTCGCTAGAAGAAAATAAATACATTTAATAGAGTACTTTTTAATAAACATTCAGATTTATTTAAATTTTAGTTTTTACTTACTGACTAAGGTTGTGTATGATGTTGTAGATGTATCAAAATTGGCACATGCATCATCGGGATTTTCGACATAGTTTTCTATAAAAAAATAAGAATTATGTTAGTTACAACTAATTAAAATAAAGTAATGTAATAAACTCACCGGCAAAAAAAACGGCCACTAAAAACTAGTACCAATTTCAAAGTTGGATTTCTCGCCAACCACTCATTAGATTTTAATTATTTTTTTTTAAATTGTAAATTAATTCCTTCTTAACGGATGCTACGTCAGAAATTTTCATTCCGAATTTATTTTGCGCATATACAGGGCACAACAATAAGACGAAGTTTTTTGCCCGAACTTTGTAACACTCTGTAGGGTGCAGCAGCTGTAGTAGCGAGATGAAGGATGAAGAAAAGATGAGGCTTAGCAATAAGCCTCATCTTTTTTTTCAGCCTTTTGTTTTTTTAATCACGACATTATCTCTGTTTGTGATAGAGATACGCTGCTTTAAAACGTCTCGGAAAAATGCTTCGCAGGCAGAAAGTTTTATGTATAAATAATGAAGGCGATATACGGATTTATGAGTATTTACAATATGACAACAACGGTTGTCAAATTAAAAAATGCCATTATCTGTGACGGATGTTGCTCGTATTGTGGGTTTAATCGAGGATGGCCAAAGTCAACGTTATGTGTCCGATACCCTGGGCATACCTTAAACAACAGTCCAGGATACCTGGAATCGGTATATGGAAACCGGAAATTTCACCAGGCGAGTGGGTTCCGGAAGAAAACGGAAGACAAATGCAATTGACAACCGCTTTATTGTCCTGAATACTTTACGAAATCGTAGAATTACAGCGTTTCAGAATCAACATCTGCTACAAGCCGTGCGTAGAACTCAAGTCAATGAGAGAACAATCCGACGAAGACTAAAAGAAAACAGCTTGCTTGCAAGGAGGCCTGCCACAGGACCCCAGCTACTTCCAAGACATCGTCGAGCACGTCTTCAGTTTGCGCGTTTACATGTGAATTGGGGGATACTGAGCAATGGACTAAAGTCCTTTTGACGGATGAATCGCGGTTTTGCCTGCAAAGCATTTTTCCGAGACGTTAATTTTAAAGCAGCGTATCTCCAATACAAACAGAGATAATGTTATTAAAAAAACAAAATGCTCACAAAAGATGAGGCTACAATCTGATTTGATTTAGCAGTAGCTACTACAGCTGCTGCACCCTACAGGGTGTTACAAAGTTCGGGCAAGAAACTTCGTCTTTTTGTTGTGCCCTGTATATGCTCAAAATAAATGGAGAATAAAAATATCTGACTAGCATCCGTTAAAAAGAAATTAATTTACAATTTAAAAAAAAATCCAACTTTGAAATTGGGATTAGTTTTAACATACTGATTCATTTACTTTATTCATACCTGATTGTTGTATTTCTATAACATGTGAATCTCTCTTGTAAAAGACCATACATACATAACCACTGTCGCTGGAAAACAATAAAAATATTAGTAATTCATATATATTTTTAGAATTCATTTTTAATTCAATATAATTTTATAATGTAATTTATTATATTTCCATTTCAGATAATAAATTCTATCGGAAAGTATATAAATAATAAAGTTCATACATAATAAATTATAACACGTCTGCAATAGCAATTTCAGTTAAGAGAAGTTTCATTAGAAAATGAATTATTGATATATTTATACACTTTTTTAAATGTATTGTTTCTAAATATTTTATCACATTTTTAGTTTGCAGGATTGTTATTTTTTAATAGTTTTGTTTAAAAACAAGTATTGTAAACTATTTACAATAGAGTTTTAAACATGTTTGGTGTGTAGCTGTTCTTTTAATAAAAAATTGGCGCCGGGAGGCACGTATAGCCGCCCATACTAAAATATGTTAATAAAAAGTTGGTAGGCAGTTCTTTTAGTTTCAAAGTAAAGGAATTTTTCCATTTTTGGCCTGCGGTTATTTCCCCTATCCGCCACCGGATTTTCTCAAAAACGGACTACGGAAACACGGAAAATCTCAAAAACTGCGATTTTGACTGATTTTGATGTTTTTACAAATTTTGTTGCAAATATTATTCCTAATCTTAAATTGAAAACCGCGTTTCGCTAGCTACTGTAATTTTGGAGTTACAATTTTTTAAAATTTTTAACCCCCTCCCATAACCCCTTACCAACCCCCCGCCCCCACCAAAAACTAATGGCCAGATTCTTGGGTGCCACAGTATTTTTGTGCCAAATTTGGTTAAAATCGGTTTAGCGGTTTTTGAGTTATCGTGTTACAGACGGACAGACGGACAGACAGACACCATGAAAATATTTTGTATTTAGGTTATTTATGACCCAAATAAAGCCGGAGTCTCATGCATCCGAAATCCGATGACACGACGAACCGACGGTGCTCCTATGGTTGAAATATTTTGACACCAATTTTTATCCGATATTTTTAACTAATCGTCCGACGTCGTATAAAGTTAAATTTTGTTTAACTTTTGTACGATATCGTGTCTTTTTTAAGCTCACTTTTTTTGAAAACATTGGTTTTTAAAATCAAGTTTAGTGGGAAGTGGCTCTGGAAGTGGGCAATTTCGGGATATTTGGCGAGGAAGTTATTTTTATAAGTGTTTCTTCAATAATACATGGAATAATACATAATAATAATACATAGAAATGACAGGTCTAAATGTCAAAACTGTCAAATTTCGGAACGAACTTTCGGATATATGTGACAGGCTTTTTTTATTTCACACGATAACTTCAAATTTCGGATGTCGTACCATCGGATTTCGGATGCATGAGACTCCGGCTTAACTCATTTTGAGTGAAATTAAAAAAACTTTTTTTTTTGCCGATCTTAATAGCCTACCATACCTGTTGGTATGGTCGGCTAAAAATGAGACTTAACTGTAATACAAAAGGGATAAAAAACAAAGTCATCACCTCAACCTAACATTCTCTAAAAACAATTCCATCAACTCATAAAAAATAAAATCTGATAAGAAACTTAATAAAAACCATGGCAGTTAATGACTTAAACCCTTGTATATGTATCTTTAAAGTAGATCAAACTAAGACGTTTATGGATGTAAAGCACCAGTAAAAGTCTACTTGAAAATATATATTTTTAGCCGACCATACCAACAGGTATGGTAGGCTATTAAGATCGACAAAAAAAAGTTTTTTTAATTTCCCTCAAAACGAGTTATTTCGGTCATAAATGACCTAAATACAAAAAATTTCATGGTGTCTATCTGTCTGTCCGTCTGTAACACGATAACTCAAAAACCGCTAAACCGATTTTAACCAAATTTGGCACAAAATACTGTGGCACCCGAGAATCTGGCCATTAGTTTTTGGTGGAGGTGGGGGATTTGTAAGGGGGTATGGGAGGGGGTTAAAAATTTTAAAAAATCGTAACTCCAAAATTACAGTAGCTAGCCAAACGCGGTTTTCAATTTAAGATTAGGAATAATATTTGCAACAAAATTTGTAATAACATCAAAATCAGTCAAAGTCGCAGTTTTTGAGATATTCCGTGTTTTCGTAGTCCGTTTTTGAGAAAATCCGTGGGGAGAACTCCAAACTCCCATCGGATGCGACCCCAGGTGGCGGATAGGGAAATATCCGCGGACCAAAATTGGAAAAATTCCTTTGCTGTGAAACTAAAAGAACTGCCCACCAACTTTTTATTAACATATTTTAGTATGGGCGGCTATACGTACTTCTCGGCGCCAATTTTTTATTTTTTTACTACTATTGTTCAGGAATTTGTTATAAACAAATATATTGTTTATTAGTAAATCGATTTTTTTGTATTATATTTATTCATGAAAATTTTTATTGCAAAGTTTTTATCCGCAGGCTAAATATTTTAGTACATAACTAATGGTATAAAGGCTTACCATCCTGCTGTAACATGAGCAACTATTTGAACTTTTCTATTTTCCTGTTGTTGTAAGATTCCATGGCAAACCAATCTCATTTCAGAATTCTGTTTTTTTAGATCTTGCGATTCAAATCCTTAAAAAATTGCACGTTTTAAAATATACATTTTTTTTAAATAATTTGAAGTAGATGTTACCTAAATCTTGGAAAGCGAATTGTGGTGGAGCATAGTTCTGATGGAGCTTGATCGGTTTTGAAGCCTCGTCGTCCATAATCTTAAGGGTGGCATTCCTTTGGGAGAATTTGAAAGTCTTATGATGATCTAAACTAAACCAGGTGTGATGTTCGGTGATCCATATGGGAAATTTGCAGCGTTTGTGTTGGTCATCGACTGAAAAAATAAAAACAATAACATATTTTAACAGAATCTAAAAATTACCCAATAAAAATACCTTATTTACATCATTTTATCAAATTTTATATTGTTTTTTCGTGTATAAGGACTAAAAATGTCCTATAATACACTTAATTATAGGACATTTTTAGTGGCTATACTGTATTTTTTTTTAGTTTTAGTATATTTAATGTATTTTAGTTGATAAACTAGATATTTCTTTAAAATTATTTATCACAGTTTCCGGTCTACCATTTATGGGCTTATTGTTACGTTTTTCGTCGGTTCCGTGTGGATAAAAAGTCACAATTTATTTAACACTAATTAACAAAAACAATAACGATAAAAGACTTAAAGAATTATTTAGAAACGATTTACAACTATTTATCTAGAAAGAATTTATTTTGAACTTAGCGCGTCAACTGTACTCGTCTTATTTCTATCTGCCCTCTTTAGGCTCCAGCCGCCGGCTTTTATATCCACAGTTAAAGATTTCTAGAATAGTCCATAGATCGTTAGGTGTATAGAGAAGGTTTCGATTGTTCTCGTATGTACTACTCCATTCCAGTGGAACTCGATTTTTCTCGAACGTCCGAATGAATCATTACGGTGTCTATTCTTTAATGCGATGTTAAGGTCATCTGAGGGCGGGACATATAGTTAGGTTAGGTCGAGTCCACACGGGTCCGCAACATTATAATCCACGGTATTGCGTCTCCTGAACAAAATATACACAAAATTATTTAAAATATCTTTTAATTATTTATTATTTCTAGTAACAGTTAACATTTAAGTAAGTAACATTTAATCTGTAGTCTGTAGCAAAGTTTAGTTTACTAATTTGGTTTAGTTTTTCTAGTTTGAATTGTCTAAATCCCTGCATAATCAATACTAGTTGAATGGATGTATATCAAACTATGCTGAGTGCTAATAAAAGTATCCTTTACAGATTTCTCTTAAGAGCAATAAAAGAACATTGCTTTTAAATAATGTCCGTGGACCATACTTTTGTTGACATCGGGTCAAATAATAATTTTCCCAAGCGGATATATTGATAATGTTACCATTATTACACATCAAGCAATACTACTCTTATATTAATCAATTAAGGCCTTATAAAAGATATAATATACAATTTTATATACTAATTCATTATAATAACATTTAATCATAAAAATATTGTAATTCTATTTCTGCAGTTTAAGTGAAAAGTTTTGTTCCTAAATATCTACTATACATATAATAAACGCGTGTTGAAATATTAATTTTGTGGAATGTGGAATATATATCAATATAACATAAAACGAGATGTAATTAACGAAATATCATCGTAACAACAGCTATTTTAGAAACGTCTAGGTTTACTTATTTCACTGAGATTTATGAAAAAAAATCCTTTGCCTCCGATACAGATACCGCCACGTTTTTGAAATAGCTCAAAACAAAACAAATTTGAGAGAATATCGTTATAATAAATTATTTCGACTAGGTTTCGATATTTTAACATGGTAAAAAACTGAAACTACACTCACCGACACGAAAAACGGACACCTTAAAATTTTGAGGCATCTTAAAGTTTAATATATTTTGTTCTAGTGGGACGATTTTGATTATTCTTTATGCAATATGTAGCTAAATAATTTGGCTTTTTGGTATCACTTTCTTAATTAAAAATCATCCATCTGTCAATTATACGAGGGCAAATAAAATGGATATTTTGGTGAATGTTTGAAACAACCTGTGGAATATGTCAAGCTAGTTTGTTACATTTCAGAAATCTGAAATGTAACAAATTATAATGACGTAACTATGTCCAACTTATTAATAAAAAAATCAGAGCAACTTACTAATGGTCAATTTCATTGTCCTGCTTCCTTCGAGAGCGGATTGCACTCCCGAACAAGTAGCGTCTCCAGATTGAGCGATGTAATAGACAATTTTTCCATTTTCTATTCTTCTTTGGTATATAAAACATCGATACTGGTCCTCGTCGGTGGTCAGGCTACGTCTGTTGCCTTGAGCCAACTTTCCAATTAGATATTTTGTCGATCCCTCTTTCCAGGCAGCAAGACATATAAGTTCCTCCACTAAAGAGAAAAATAGTATCATTAATTCGTATTATTCTAATTAGGTAGAGATAATTTGCCACAGGTTTATTGAAACACTTAATAATGAAGATATGTGTATCATGACCATATATGTTATGATAAAGTATTACACTTTGACATCGTGAAAATGTACCCCTTTTTAAACAGAAGGAACAACCTTTAAATTTACTTCTTTATTAATTATTAATTTATTGCGTATAGGTACAATATGATAAAGCAACTACTGTCAAGATTTAATTACTCTATCATCAGGCCTGATCTATAGAATATTAAGATATGGCGATCTTATATTTTATCATCGAATAAAAAGACAAAGGAAGGAGCATATCAACAGTATTAACGCAATGAAGCTTTTTTCCGGTTTTAATTAATTTAATTCCGGTTTTATGAGTGGCATTTATTATTTTAACATGTTAAAATAAAGGGTGAGTTTCCTACTGTGTTCTCTATGGGTTGTATCTCGGAAACTAGTGGAGATAGAGAGTCGGTTAAATCGGGAAAGAATTGCAGTTTTGTAGGGTCATCCCTGACACAAACGGTACATTGTGAGACAGGAAATTGCAGAGAGAAACAAGCCCTATAACATAGGATATAACATTTTAATGAACAGTAGTTTCCATAAAATCAATATAATGAAAAATATACGAAATAATATACATGTACTGATTTCTTTCGAAAATCGACAACTATGAAACTATGAACCCTTCCCCGACACAAACGGTACATTGTGAGACAGGAAATTGTAGAGAGAAACAAGCCCTATAACATAGGATACAACATTTTAATGAACAGTGCTTTGCATAAAATCAATAAAATGAAAAATATACGAAATAATATACCTACATGTACTGATTGCTTTCGAAAATCGACAACTATGAAACTATGATCCCTTCCCCGACACAAACGGTACATTGTGAAACAGGAAATTGTAGAGAGAAACAAGCCCTATAACATAGGATACAACATTTTAATGAACAGTGCTTTCCATAAAATCAATAAAATGAAAAATATACGAAATAATATACATATACTGATTTCTTTCGAAAATCGACAACTATGAAACTATGATCCCTTCCCCGACACAAACGGTACATTGTGAAACAGGAAATTGTAGAGAGAAACAAGCCCTATAACATAGGATACAACATTTTAATGAACAGTGCTTTCCATAAAATGAATAAAATGAAAAATATACGAAATAATATACATATACTGATTTCTTTCGAAAATCGACAACTATGAAACTATGATCCCTTCCTCGACACAAACGGTACATTTTGAGATAGGAAAGTTCATAGCTTACTAGATATTTCGAAAAAAACAAATTTCGACTATTTTAAATATTGTCCCTATCCATTATAATCTATTTTAGACAAAAAGTTTTCAGATAAAAGTTGTAGATAATCACTCCCTTATTGAGACTGTGTTTTCCGATTTCTTCTATTTTGACATATGACACAAACATATGTTCTTTTAAATGGTAGATTTAAAATGTAATTAAAAAATGTAATTAAAATTTCTTGTTAATGGTAAAAACATAGTTGGCCATAACTTCATAAAAAGCGCAATTTTTTAAGCTTTTCAGCGATATGAGCTATAATTTGTTTTTTTTTTCGAACAATTCGAGTTATAACCAATTAAAAACTAAAGTGTTCTCGAATAGTTGAATTTAAATATTTAAAATAGTTTTTTTCTTTATTCTTTGTATCTTTTTTTGCTCCCGACGACGGAAAGAGATAAACTTTCCGAAACGTTAAGCATTTTTTTGTTCGTTAGGCAAATTTGTATATCTGTAAACCTAACTTCTGACAAGTAGTTTCCGTTTGGATTAACGCGGAAGTGTTTACAAAAAATAACTATTTTTTTGTAGATTTTCTTGCAATGACGAAATACCCATATAGAATTTTTTTGGAGAGATGAATCAGCCACATAGGTATAGACATTTTTTATAAAAATAGTATTGTTAGTATTACTCCTTCCTTAGCCATTTTATTTAATGGATTTTATTAGTAGATTATTCATTCAGAAAGAAAAAATGTTACATTTTACTGTTATTATTGTTAGTACATTTTTTTACTGAAATAGAACAATTGATGCTGATAGCTGACTCAATATTCTTACCGTTGCTCTCTGTGCTGACGACATCCGGACAAGCTTGATATTTCAACACCAACCTGGATTCATCCGTACAGCTTTCAGCACGGCTTGGTGGGTTATTACATTCACCAGTTCCTCTATTATACCTAGTAAAATTATGCACATTTTATAGTAAACAGTTTTTTCATTATCTAGAAAATATGTCTTACTCTAGAATGTACGGCGAGCTTTTGAATGGACAAGGTATGGGCTTCACTTCCGGATGCTTTCTGAACATGCTGTATAGTGCAGCATCTCCAACGATACGAGAGCATATTTCGGCAAGAGAATCCTTGGGTTCGCAATATGCTGAAAACAAAATGAAACCGAATCTTAGTTAAACCTATTTTAAGAAAAATAGGGTGGAACTTTTAGTGCTATGACCGAAAATCGTACAAATATACTAGAAATAAACTGTATTTTAAATTTTGGCGGTATTATAGCAGGTAATATTCAGATAAAAAATAATTTTAAGTTGGAAAAACTTGATCAATGTATCAGATTCCATGGGAAATCGTCACCCTAGAATAAGATTGTTCTATAGACCATTTCGATGAAACTGTGAAAACAAAGTTTAAACCGGATATCCGTGAACATTATATACCAAAACGGTTCTATTAAACATATAAATTAAAGGTAATATAAAAACCTATCAAACATATGTATTTATTTTACTTTTAGAAGCTTTATTTAAAAGATATTAGTGATTTTAGATTTGGATATAGAACAAATGTATCTGTTAGATGTGCATTCAGCCAATTTTAGGGATATAGAACAAAATAAGGGGATATAGAATAATATAATACTCATTTTAAGCTGATTTATTTGTATTTCAAAATATTATTTCAACACAAAATAACTGAAATGGAGACATTAAGATATTAACTAAAAACAACGTAAAAAAATAAAAACCTAAAATACAATAGTAATAATTATTCGTCTGCATTGTTTATTAAAAACTATCATTTTTTTTCCGCCTATTTGTTTGGTATGTATAGTGTTAAAATAACTTAATCAGATTTTAAATCTGATTTTTAACTTTCATTGGATTATTTAAATGTTTTTTTAGCTATCTCTAGTACTGATAGTATTAGAGAACCATTGAGCAGTCAATTGAGTTGAAGTAGCTGGTTTCACGAAATTCCAAAATGTGAAACATTCGAATTTGCTAACAAATCAGGCAATCAGTGCTTTTAAAACGAACGATTGAGCAGTTAATTGAGTGCAGCGGGTTTCACGAAATTCCAAAGTGTGAAACATTCGAATTTGCTAACAAATCAGGCAATCACTGATTTTCAAACGAACGATTGAGCAGTCAATTGAGTTGAAGCAGTTGGTATCACGAAATTCCAAAGTGTGAAACATTCGAATTTGCTAACAAATCAGGCAAATCAGTGCTTTTCAAACGAACCGATTTGCCGCCTATTTGACAAACGAACGTTTAGTGGTGCAATTTCACCCGCTTAAAACAAAAGCCTTAAATTTAAATAAAAACAGATACATACATTGTATGTTAGAGAGAAAGAGATCGAGAATAAATGGATATAGAACAATCTAATTTTTATGCATAGTAAGTTTTTGATCTGGTATTTTTGTTCCATATCCACTTCTTAGGATAAAGAACACAATAATTCTATTTTTTTTTATTACAAACTGTAGGATGTAACCTTAAATAGTGATTTTTGGATGTAGGCCATTATATTGTTTCGCGACTTTCAAATTAATATGGATATAGTACAAAATATTAGATTTTTTTTCTTTATTTGTGAATTTGGCTATATTGTTTTTGTGGATATAGAACAAGCTAATTCTACATAAAAAAAATGGTGTATGTAACTCATTTTACCCCAAAAGTGGATATAGAACAACCTAATTCTAGGGTGACGAAATACTAGTTTCAAAAATGATATTAATATTGTTTTGAATAGTTATAAAACAATTCAAACAAATGATGTGTTAAATGATAAAATTGCTGGTACTTACTTTCTTTGTATTGAAGAACGCTAGGATGCTTCTCGTGCATCACTAAGCATTTGTAGCAATCGTCAGTTCTGAAAAAGAAAACAATAATTAGTTATGGAAACAAAACATTTGTACATAGTATCAATTTTTGTTAAAAATACATAAGTGGTGAACAAATATTTCTAGTTTTCAGTTAATAACGACTTAAAAGTTTTATAGAAGGATGTAGAATGTAGAATGAGTAAGAGGGGGGTTAATCACTGCGACCTTAAAGATCTATTGTGTGTGTGTCCCCCTTCCTTGAGTTATCACACAATCTATAACCCATCATACACCTGTTGTAGAGGGGACAGGGTATTTCCCATCCTCATCTGACAACAGTTCTTCCTCCGAGGGTACACACCCTTCCACGGTTGGAGTTTAGCCCTCCGTGCCACTCTTCACAGTCGAGGAGCTTGCCTCCGGCTGAGGAACCCGTGAGGTGGAGGCTGTAGGATCTGTCTGCATTTTCTCCACCTTTTTAACTTGGTCTCTCCTTAGACCTGATACCGGTGTTGTCCCGTATCTATAATAGAGAATATGTCTCTCTTTCTCTATTGCCTCCTTGGATTTGAGGTCACTTCCTATTGTGATGACCTGACCATGACCCTCCTCCCTCGAGTTGATGACTCGCCAACTCGATGTCCTTACATTGAAGTTCTGACCTTTGATAAGGCTCAGCAGGTAGGTGGTATCTTTCCCCTTGCTCCTCGGCAGAAAGACCGTTATGGCCTCCCCTTTAGAGATGTTTTCTCCCTTCACTGCAATCAGTTCCGGCCCTTGCCAATTTTTAAGCTTAAGTGCGATTTCCACCAACCAATTCGCCGATTCTTGAAATACACAATCTATGAGGATCATGCCCACACGAAAGTGTATCCCCGCAAAACGCAGGTGACCTACTTTATAGAAGGATAGTAGAATCTATTTTTTAATGGAGAGAGACTACGTACCGGGTATCCCACTAAGAATAGCTCTCGGCTGTATCTCGGAAAGTATTAGCCGTAGGGGCTCCGGAAAAAAAAATTATAATTAAAGAGGCTATGAGAAATTGCTGAAAATTATCTTCAAATTTGTAGAACGACCGCTAGGGGGCGCAATTGCAACAAAAAATAAGAAAATGTTTTTACACAATTTTGCCTAGATAAGGTGTACTATAAGTAATAGCTTCATAATCTTCAGTAAATTTGGAATATTTTTTGTTAGAGCCATTTTCCCCTATCTACCAAAAGAAAGTGGTGGGGGAAGGTCAGATCTGTTTTTATTTAAATATTAATAACTCTGGACTGGATGATCGGAATCCAACAAGCTAAGGCTCGTTTGAAAGAGCGTTTCTTACTCTATATTATACCATATAAACAATAATAATAAACTTTTGAACGTAGACGCTAGGGGGCGTTGTCTTACAATTTACCAAACATTGCGCGTTTTATCAAAAAAATTAAATGCAATAGTATATGTAATTTTAGCTGGTAGTAAAGAGTAGTAAAAGCTTAAAAAGTCAGCGAAAACCGCATCTTGATATCTTCTTTAAAACTGAAGATATTAGCAAAATCATAATAAATACCAAAAAATAAGCAACACGGTATCAGTAGCTCTCTTGATTATGCCCATTCTAACAAAAAAATAAGATAGAAACAGTTAGTTTATTTTCAAATCGACGAAATACCAGAATACCATAATACCAGAGGTATTAATATCTAATGATTAAGATATTAATAACAGTGAACAAGAAATGATAATTCAGTGAAGTCATTTGGAAAAAAGTTGCTTTTGACGTAATAGTATTGTTACGTTTTTCGTCGGTTCCGTGTGGATAGAAAGTCACAATTTATTTAAACACTATTTATTTAACACTAATTAACAAAAACAATAACGATAAAAGACTTATAGAACTATTTACAAACGATTTATAACTAAGAATTTATTTTGAATTTTAGCGCGTCAACTGTATATTTATAACTGCCCTCTAGGCCTAGGTCACTGCCGCCGGCTTTTATACCGACAGGTAAAAGAAATCTAGAATAGTCCAAAGATCGTTAGGCGCATAGGAAGGTTTTCGAATGTTCTCGTATGTACTAGTCCATTCCAGTGGGACTCGATTCTTCTCGAACGAATGAATCATTGCGGTGTCTATGCGATGTTAAGGTCACATCCGAGGGGCGGGACCCATATTGTAAGGTTAGGTTGAGTCCACACCGGCCCGCAACACTGCCCCTTCTTAGCACATGCTCGTCCCGAGATGTATACGGTGAATGAAGGTATTTGCAAAGCTGGCCCCTGGTACATTGCGAAGTCTGGTAGAAATAGCAGTCTACAGTTTTCTCTCCCGATCTCAGCTTTGGGTTGTAGCAGCAAACGAGGATCTCGATTCCCGTAAATCTGAACAAGACTTCAATCATGTTCCGGATTGTACGCCAACTCAAACCATCGAGTCCACACGCCAGCTTCGGAATGGCTAATCGTGCAATGTTGTTGTTTAGCAGGGCTTCTCTCAGTTCAATCAGGGTCTTCCATAGATTGAGATAAGTCGGCTTACTCGGGGACCATTCCTTGGTGACCAGGTAGAAGATGTGCCTTGCTTGACCATGTGCATTGTCGGTTAGCCTCAAGACGCTTCCAACCTCTGGATCCTGTCGGCGTAGTTCTCCGACACGCCCAAACTTCTCATTGAACGTCGCAGCGATTCCTCTGGACATCCGCAAATCTCGAGCCACACAATGAGCGAGCGAATAATCAGGAGGCACGGAAAAGAGGTCTCGTTGATCTTCTTTGGTTACACCATAGCGAGCCTTCTCACTGCTGTTGTATCGGGCCATGAAATCGTCAAAGGACATCTCCGAATCAGGGGGATCAAAGCTGCAGGTTCTCACGGTCCCAGCACGATCTTCTATTTCGCCTTGGTAGGGGCTCAAACGGTTGAAATGGACTACCCTCGGTTTTCCTTTTGGCAATTTTCTGATACGGTATACGACGTCATTAATTCTATCCATGACTTCGTATGGCCCTTCCCACGAGGATTGTAGCTTCGGAGATAACCCACGACGTCTCTGCGGGTTATATAGCCACACCAACTTCCCTGGTTGGTATCCTCCATGCTCAGCTTGAATGTCGTAGTGTTCCTTCATTCGGTCACTAGCACTTTGAATATTTAGGCGGACTCTCTGATGAATGTCGTCCATCCTTTGACGTAGTGTGTGGACATAATCTTCTCCGGCGACTTCTTCTCCCGGTCGGCAACCAAATTTCAGATCACAGGGTAGGCGCACTTCCCGTCCCATAACGATGCTGGCTGGAGTTTGCCCTGTAGATTCTTGGACGGATGAACGGTAGGCCAACAGGAACAGGTGAAGAAATTTGTCCCAGTCTCTTTGGTGGTCAGAGACTACTTTGGCCAGATAACGGTTGATAGTTCTGTTCATGCGTTCAACCATCCCATCGGATTGTGGATGTAGAGCAGTCGTCCTGGTCTTGCGGATGTTCAGGACTTCACAGACGCCTTGGAACAGATTGGACTCAAAGTTTCTTCCCTGATCTGAATGAAGCTCCATGGGAACACCAAACCTGCAGATCCATTCTTTAACAAGGGCATCAGCAATCGTGGACGCTTCTTGATTTGGCAACGCGTAGGCCTCGACCCATTTGCGGAGTAATCCATTACTACCACAATATATTTGTTGACATCGTTCGACTCTGGGAAAGGACCAACCACGTCGATCGCTATTCGTTCGAAGGGACTGCCTACATTGTACTGGCGCATTGGGGCTTTACCGCGCTTTTGTGGTCCATTGATGGCGGCGCAAACGTCACATTTCTTGCACCATTTCCTCACATCTCCTTTGCAGTTCACCCAATAGAACCGTTCCCGCAGCTTGCAAGTGTCTTGGTAACACCGAGATGTCCACCGCTGGTTCCATTGTGAACTTCCTCCAAGACTTCCGGGATCCTCTTCTTTGGAATGACGATCTGCCTTCTCTCTTCTTGTCCCTCCGGTCTCTCGATCACACGGCGAAGTAGTCCGTTATCTATTACCAAGGAATTCCACTGAGCCCAGTACGACTTTACGTTCGGCGAATATCTGCAAACTTCTTCCCACGTTGGTCTTAGGTCTGCATTTTTCTAGTTAATTACTAAACCTAATTCTGGGTCACTGGTTTGGTCATTTGCAAGATCTTCGGGTTGCCAAGTATCATTAACCACAGTTGTTCTTACGAGTTTCGCTTCTTTCTCTTCTGCTCGGGAACAATGCTTACAGTCCTTATCGCAAGGTCTTCTGGAAAGTGCGCCGGCATTTCGATGGATTGCCCCAGCTCGATGTTCTGTGTCGAAGTCAAATTCTTGTAATCGTTCGATCCATCTAGCTACCTGCCCTTCAGGATTCTTAAACTGCAACAGCCATTTCAAAGCAGCATGGTCTGTTCTTAACAAGAACTTTCTTCCATAGAGATACTTGTAGAAGTGTTCCACTGCTTTAACTACGGCTAGTAATTCTCGTCTGGTCACGCAGTAGTTCCTTTCCAGTTTTGACAAGGTCTTACTAAAATAACCAATTACTTTTTCTTGACCATCCTGGATTTGAGACAGAACAGCGCCTAATCCAACATTGCCAGCGTCGGTATCCAATATAAAGTTTCCGTTGCCAAGGGGGTAGCTAAGTATGGGCGCACTAGTCAGGGCCTTCTTCAATGTTCGGAATGCCTCGTCAGAATCTGAGTCCCAAGAGAACGCCTCTCGCCTTCGGTAAGTCTGGTCAATGGTTTTGCGATGGTGGCGAAACCCTGTACATAGCGGCGATAATATGTGCATAGTCCCAAAAAGCTTCGTAGTTCATGTTTATCTTTAGGTATTGGCCACTCTTCCACTGTCTTGGTCTTCTGTAGATCTACCGCAACTCCTTGGGAGGAGACTACATGTCCCAAGTTTCAAACCAGAGCTCCCTAGTCGCTTGAAAACTTCTTCCAAATTCTTCAGATGATCGTCAAAGGATTTCCCAACCACTATGATGTCATCCAGGTACACTAAACAGGTAGTCCAGGATAGACCCTTTAACACA